ACCCGGTGGATCGATTTTTAACCGATTATGGCAGGTTATCGGTTTTGACAGGATCGGTTTGGGGAGGGCCGACAGTATATATAATATATATCGATATATATATATTTTGGATACTAATTTATTTAATTAATAGACTAGACCATTTGACCAATTCGACCAGACCATTTGACCAGACCAGTTTGACCAATGAATTTTTGGTCGACCAGTAATTTGACCAACCCTGATTATATTGCAATGATTACTATTTTAGGACCTGTATAAAGACTTTTCACCCACATGGTATATCATATTATAAATACCTATTCTACATATAAAATATAAGAGGTGGCATATGATGCCACGTGTAGAGCTAGTTTATACTTTTAATTCTTAAACTAAATATTATATATTTATAGCTCCGGACCCACAATGCTACGCATTAGCCTAGTATTAGTATAGCTATACTGAATTAATTGTGTACCTAATATCTATTTAATTATTTTAATTTTATACTAGATATCAGCCTTAATTATTTTTTCAATCATTGGAGATTACTATATATATACTGTATATGCATTAAGAAAAGCATTTATATTTATTTAAATAGAAAGTGAAAACAAAAGAAATTGTTCAACGGAAACCTAATTTATTTATAAGTTAAAGTAGTAAATTTAATAAAATATTAAATCTAATAAAATACTAAATCCAAAGACCTAAACATTTATTTAGTTCCAAGAGTAATATTGGAAAAAGAGATTGTCGTTAATTAATCTTTTTTTTTTTTTTTGAGATAAAAATTTTAAATTATTATTGTTTAAAAAAAAACCATAAAAATCTCATAGCAGATTCTTTTTTTAAAAAACTTTCTATCAATTCTCGCTTTTCTTTCTCCTTTCGCTCAATTATCTGAATGATTTCGCGGTCTTTACTCTCCAGTAAATCGAGTTTTTCTTTCTCCTTTCTCTCGATTAATGCAATAATCTCGGCTTTCGAAAAATTATATTCGTCTTCTCTGATGAAAATATTTAAATACGATAAAATTAGTATTTATATGTAGATAGACAAACAGAAACCTTCAAAATTGCGGCTCATGTGAGAACACATTATAAATAAATTAAACAAATAAATAAATAAAATAAAATAAATAAATTAATTCATTAAATTAAATAAATAAATAAATTAATTAATTAAATAAATAAATTAAATAAATAAATAAATTAAATAAATAAATAAATAGATTATACTAATAATAATAAAAAGTTGTTTTCTCTCAAACGCGTAATGTACGTGTAAAATACCCTTTCTTTTGTCGTTTATTATCGTTCTCGTTACGCTATATTATCGATAATAATAATAATAATAATAATAATAAAATCTTGGTTAATAATGTGTTCATTAAGCAATATATTTCATTAAAAAAAATAATAAGTTTCTTTATAAGGAAATGCATAACCAATTCCCCTTCCGGAATCAGTAGACTTAGTTAAGAAACTTCATCTCCGCTTTTACGTGCATGGATCAGCTTTCGTTAAATGGTTTCTGAAGACAGTCAATCCAGCGAAATCATCCTCCTAGGCGTGATATCACGAAGTCCTTTATGTGCAAGAATAACTTGGATGGTTATTCAAGCGACAATTATGCTCGTAAGTATAAGTATGTTCGTGTTCGTAGGATAAATAACCCCGTTGTTGTCCACTTAAATGAAGCTGGAGAAGAACGTTCACAAAACTGTGGCCACGATGAGCTTTCAATTCTCACAGTTTAACACCTAGCGGTAACTCAGGCGGTCATCCCAGAGAATCATTCGCGTATTATACGTCGGCATGATATCACAGTGCTACTTATGGTTCAGATATAATCATCATAGCATAAAGTATTTCGTGTTCATAGAATAACGTGTGGTTATTCCAGAGAATCACCCTTGAGATATGATTTCTATGCATAGAATGTGCTGCCCTCACCAAATAACTCAAACTGTTGATCCCAGCGATAATTACGAAAAGCCGAAGATATTGATTATATAACTAGAAAAATATACTTGCATTGTCGTCCGGTCTTTTTCTATTAGTTAATTTGCGTACGGGAACGGAGGAGGAGGAGGATTGGGGATCCATTTGAAGAATTTTAATTTGCAATGGTTGTATAAAACTGTAATACGCGTAACGGCACCACATAACAGATAAGACGTGTACTATTTATTGCCAATCATGTTGTTACCAGCCAATCATCGAAAAATTCTGCGCTATGTAATATACAGCCAATCAAATTCCTATATTAGTACATTATCAGCAACATATGCGCACTCACTGAATAAATTAGAAACATTTTTAAAACTTCTAGCGAAGGTTTCTCTATACTTATGTAAAATTAAACTAAAAAAATCTCATTAAATTGATTAGGTAGTTATTGAGAAACCTTCGCTAGAAGTTTTTTAAAAAAAAACATGTAATACGTATTTTAGAAAAAAACTAAAATACCTTAAACATTAAAAAAAAAAAGAAAAAAACTAAAATCGAGTAAATTTTTTTATTTTTAAATTTTAATGAATTTTTTTTATTTTAATTCTACGAATATGTAAAATTAAAATAAATAAAAAAATGTTATTGAATTTAAATAGATAGTTGTTGAGAAATATTGATTAAAAATTAAAAAAATATTAGCTATAGTATTTTTTTTATAGATGCCTAAACTTTGAACAAAGTTTACTGGCATTTGCCTAACCAAATTCGATCAAAAATTTTTATTTTTAATTCTATAATATTATAAACGCAAAAACATTGATATTGACCCATTTGGACCATCGTTATTGACCCAGAATTGCAAAAAAATAAAAAAAATAAAAAATAAAAAAAAATAATAATAATAATAATAATAATTATTGCTGTATTGTAACACAATATTGTCATTATGAGCTTTTCGATTGATACTTCAAACGAAAATAAAACTATCGCTATAATTTATTTATTTATAAGTTTCAATATAATTGGCTTTTTACTTTACAAGCTAGCCATTTGTTTCATTCTATTTTTTCTTCCATCGAACCATGTAAACAACTTTTTCATATTCGTTTCTACATTATTATCTAAGTAAATATTTTTTTTAAGACAAGCTTTTACAAACTCCTGTCGTTTCCAATCAGTTTGTTTTTCAGAAAAAAGATTTTCAAGTGCATGTCGTAAAGTGGCTTTAGATGAAGATAAGTTAATGATTTCATTACTCTGATTTAAACCATTTATAGTTAATATTTTGTTAATTCGAAATTTTTATGATTTACTGTATTTAGACTTATCTTTTTTATAGAATTACATTTGCGGTTCCTAATTGTTGCAGTTCTTCGTTTCTGAACTGATAGTGGCAATGGACTTAATACTGATGCTTCTGCTCTAGTAGCATTAATTAGAAAGGCTTCATTGGTTTCTTCAACCTCTTTGGCATCTTCATTTTCAATTTCATAAACATTAACTTCTTTGATTTCAGCTTCAATTCTTTCAACTTCAACTTGTTCTGGGCTTGTTACTGTTAATAACTCTGCTTCAGTATCAATTAGCATTAAGTCTTCATTATTAACATCATTCTTAAAATGATATAGAGTATAGCGATAGTAATTAAACTATTGTTAATTGAATACATCTCATATAAGGATAGATCTACTTACCTTCTTATTATTTGTTAATTCATTTAAAAAACGGCTAGGTTTTCTTGGCTTAGCACTATGTACTTTAGGAGCTTCGATGCTTGATATTCTTCGTTCAGGTAGTTCAATAGGACGAAATGGGTCCTTTTCTGTAGTTATATACTCATATAGAAAAAATATATCATTACCTTGCATTAAGAAAATTCGAAGAATTTCCTCAAATGCAGTTTCATTAGAGTTGCTATAAATTAAAAGGTTTTTTTGTTCGGCTGGTGCTACACATTTCTTTTTGCAGAAATATTGTACAAGATCATATTTTACCGCATCTAGAGTAGTCTTGCTATTTTCTATATCATTAAATAGGCATGCTGCATATACGTGCTTGTATACATCACGGAAAGACCCATTCCACACAAAATCAAGACATGTGCACTCTCCTGTGGAAATATTAACAACATAGTAATCATCCAATTGTATAACTGGGTGTTTAGATACAAGCTTATTTAATAGCAGCTAAAGTAATTTATATGCTTCATTATCGAAATTAATATTTTTTATTGTATATGGAGAGTGAAACTTATTATTTCCTTTTTTTACATAAAAATATAAGTCATTTTCACTAACTACAGGTTTTACTAAATAAAGTAAAACACACAATCGTCCCTGATTTAAATGTTATTTTACATCTGCAGATTGTTTAAATAGTAATGCTTGATGTTCTTTAATATGTGTATTCCAATATGTTACTTGACTAGCTTCAAATATAAATTGTAAAGAGGTCTCTTGAATGATATATATTATCTCGTACTAATCTAATCCCATATAATCTTTCAATGAAGTTATTGATTGGCTGAGTGCTTACACTAAAGTATGGTGCCATAAATAGCTAATTACTACAATTATATTACTACATATATTTTTACAAAGACTTTTTTGAAACCGTAATTGTAGTAATA